ACAGATGGGGGCACCGTGGAATGAGGTGGCACTGTCCCCAGATTGGCAGGTAGGTTTAGATTGTTCTTACTTCAGAGCACCACTTTAGATTCTGTGAAAGCTGGCAAAGAAACAAACGCCACAGATTGGTACTGCGAGAGGACCAAATGTACCTGTGAGAAAGAGTGGTGGAGACTGAGGCTTGGCTCAGATGGTACAGTGCCTACCTTGCATGCTGAAGGACCAGAGTTTGAGCCTCAGAATCCATACACAAAGCTGGGGCACTGGAGACACAGCTCAGCACTGAAGAGTACTTTCTGCCCTTGCCGGGGACTTGGATTTGGTTCTCAGCACCCATCACTATCTGTAACTCCAGTTCTAGGGAACCTATCGCCCTCCTCTGGCCTCTTCGGGCACCTCACACGTGCGATACATAGATATAAATGCAAGTCAAACACTCATACACATAAAAAAAAATCTTAGGTACCTCTACCAGCGCTGGAGAGGGAGAGATAGCTGGATACTGAGAGTCAGCCTAGCCTTCTTGGTAAGCTCATGGGTAGTACGAGAGCCTAAGTAAAATCTTTTAAAGGGGATAGCACACGAGGACTACCACCTGAGGTTGTTCTCTGGCCCCCACAAGCTCACCAATGCTGAGAAATCAAGACTTTGCTTCGTGTCCTTTGGAGTGGAGCATGGTTAACTCGGACTGGCAAATAAAACGACAGCCTGTGGCCAGTGTGGCTCCTTGTCTTTCTTCCCACGCATGGCCTTCTTTCTGGAGGAAATCTGGCTCTTTTGCCATGCTCACTATGGTTTTCCACCACCGTTACTTAGAGATGCTCAGCGCTGTCTCCCTCCCAGGCTTCCTTCAATTGTGTTAGGGGGATTAGCTGCAGAAGCACCAGCCTCACCCACCCGGTGAAATGCAGAAAGGCTAGCTGGGATGTGCAGCAGCTGTCTGGGAGGACTCTGAGCTCGTTTCTGAAAAGAATCTGTTTAAAATTGGAAGCCAGGAGTAAGGACACAGGATGGAAGATATGGAGTCAATATGAAACTACTGTGGAAGGAAATCCTCACATCTCTACCATACAGGGGCATCGGCTAGGGCTGCCTTCTTTTTCAACCCATTAAGCCATTCTGTTATCCGTAGCACATGGAGTCTGCCTAGGAAGTTATTCTACTTGGATTGTTCTGATTAGATTCTTAGTGGCTTTTCCATTAAAAGTAAGAGAACGTAACTTCTGTTTCCGCATCATCTGTAATCCTAGAGTACCGAGTGGGCTGAGAAGCATTTTAAATCATGGCAGCTTGGCCAAATGTGAATAGCAAAGCTGCGAAGTCACAGGCAGGCAAACGGCTCAGGCCAGCGTTACCAAGAGACTGTGACTGTGTACCCACCAGCTCTTGTGTGACGAGACTTCAAACTAGCTGAGAGAGGATCAGATAAAAATAGTTCTTCAGGAGACAAAGTTACTTTTTGTTTTTTAATTTTTTTATTCACCCTCCCACATATACATTTTCTATAAACTCCAACCTGGTGGTGGTGGTGTGTGTGTGTGTATGTGTGTGTGTGTATGTGTCTGTATGTGTGCACACACGCATGCACACTGAGTATGGCATGTGGAGCAATTTACCAAATCATGAAGGTTTTTGTCCTTGTGCCTGTCCGTAAGGTATGTGTGACTATGAGGTGTGTAAAAGTGTTGTGCCTGTGATATATTTACATTCTCTCTGTGTGTATTAGCCAACACATGCAGGTTCACGTCAATGTGTATATGAGGTGTGAGTATGTTGTGTGTGTGTGTGGAGAGCAGTTTAGCATAGGTGAGTAGGGTCCTGACAATGGATTTAAAGGGTATACGTGAGTGTGCAGGTGTGAGTGTGTAGTACGTGTCCTTGTAATGTGTGTGGCATGTATGGAATGTGGTCTGGCGGGCTTAGCATATGTGTAGTGTGTGTGGATAGTGTAAGAGCATGTGTTGGGGTGTGGGAGTACTCAGTGTGTGTGGCCGTTTAACACAGCCAATGTAGGTTCTTTCCAGGGTGTCGGTGTGGGGTAAATGCATATGTGGGAAAGTTGGAGGGTGGTGTTTGTAAGTGAGTGTGAGTGCACATGGTAGTGTAACCCAGACAGATGTGCTGGTTCTTACACAATGAAAACAACCTCTTAGCACTCGAGCCTTTAACCGCTGCTTCTGGGCAACATAGTTGGGCTAGACTTTTGCCTTTCAACCACTTCGTTCCTATTTAATAGCCTTCAGCGTAACTTATTTCTGAGCTTAATGTCCATGCCGATTCGTGCAGCGGGAGGTAGTTTTCCCTCTTCTCAGTTGAGTGACGCCATGCCTGAGCTGACTTCTTAAAGCCGACAGCTTGCTGCCCTCGCCAGCTGAAGCTCACCGCTCCTCCAGTTTGAGCGAGCAGCCTGGTAGAATGGTTTGAGGTGGTGTGACTGAACGTCGTCAGCGAGGAGAGGAGCAGAGCACAGGTTCTCCACCCCAGACTCATGCACAGCTTCCCCCATTCCAGGCAGGAGCCCACTGTCAAACCAGCCCAGCAACGGGCTTAGGAAAGGCTGAGTGTTCCGACTGGTAAGAAGATAGAGAATTCAGAAACATTTTAGTTCAGATAGTCTGGTTTGTGTTTAATGGGATGGACCAGCAGAGTTGTTGGAGCTGCTGTTGTTTGAGGATAAGCCAAGGCTCTCCTTGATCTCAGCCTTCTGACAGTTTCTCACTTCCTGTCCCCTCTACGCAAGGATCCCTCTGCAAGGATCCAAACTGTTCCTCCTGCCTTTGCTCTGGTAGTTCCTACCTGCTTATGGGGCCGTCTTTGCATGGCCAAAGTTCTCCAATATTTAAGCCCTGGCTTGAATACTATTTCCCCAATGAGAGCATCCAGGGTAGAGAGAACCATCTCTCTCTTTCTGGACCACTCTGAGCTTCCCTTTATGATCTCTCTGGCTTCCTGCTTTGCCCTGTGCATGACACATGCTGTCCCCCTTCCTCCCACCTTCTCCATCAAGACCCTCAGGACTACCGAGAAACATGCCTTTCATTCCGTCGCAGGGGGTAGGAATCCCAGCCCGTACTTGCTTCCTATGAATGAATGCATGAATGAATGTGGTAAATCTGACAGGGAGCAAATACACAAAAAACGCCACGAGTGTGAAAGTGAGTGGCAGGGAAATGCTAATGCGCCCTTGATTCCTAGTGGCCAAGCCAAGAACAGCTTAATAATTTACAGCAAGCAAAAATGTGACTTCATTCATTTTCCTGGGCATGAGGCCTGTGGGGAAAGCAAGATGATAATACCTGCAGGCAGCTAGGAGTCTGCTCAGAGGGTCGGAGGGAATGTTTATTTCCTCCTGTCTGCCTGTCTTCCACACAGGCTGCAGAAATCCAGTCTGCTGACTTTTCAACCTGTTCTGAGAAAATCAGCCAGCTTTCTCTCTTCTCCCCTCATTATCCTAAAAAAGGAAGAAAAAGAAACCCCAGATGAAATTATCCAAACTTGGGTTATGGACTATCTATTTTAATGGCTAGTCCATCAGGGTGACGCTTGCTCAGAAACAGTGCTCTTTATCAAAACAATTGAAATCAATCCCCAGGACCTCTGTATTCACTAGGAAAAGACCTCCTTCCCCTTGGTGGTTTGCTTTAACACATGAACACAGCACTGTGGTTTGAAAGACAGCAAATTATAGACCTAGCATTTCAAGTGTTTGTAAGGGGAGGCCTGGCCCATGTTGACAAGTTCAGTAAATGCTGCCCTTTTCTTAAGCGTTGGTGTTTAGATGGACGAAAAGAGAGACCGATGAAGAACCGGTGTTTCCTAGATACAATCTGTACAGTGAACACGTTTGTTCATGCACGCCCCCTTCCAGCTCCCTGCGAGCTAGATCCTATTATTTCCAGGCTGGCAAACAAAAGCTTCTGAAAGTGAAATATCATTCCCGGAGTTCTGTAGCCAGGGAAAGGCCAGGCTCCAACTCCAAGGTCAAGGGCAAAGTTCTTGTTCTCTGCGGAACTGGGACCAGTCCTTCAGCACCACGTCATCTGAGCTCACCTGGGTAGAATGCTCCAGAAAGGACAGAGCCTTGGCAAGGGGCCACATTAGCTCATTTTCTTTTTAACCAGCTAGGACTTCTGTGTTTTGTTGGTGATGTAGATAAATCTCTCCGACGCTGCCGTTCTGTTTGTCCCTGATAGTTTTGCATTTGCTTTTGATGTAATTTGCCTCTATAATGCTCACAAATATATATCACTTAAGAGATGGAATTGTATTAGAAGAGCTTTTTTATTAAGGTCTGTCACAATGTTTTTCATTATTAATAACCATGAAGGTTTGTTGTTTGAGTAGAGCTATATGAGTTCAGCCAAGACAGTTTTTAGTGGAAGTGAACGTCCAGCGGCTTTGATATTCCTCCCCAGTGTAAGAAAGTCAGGATCAGTTATCAGAGAAGAAAATCTATGGACACCTGTGGGTGGCCTTTAAAGATCTAAGCCTGCCGTCTGACTTAAGTGTTTGGAAGGTTCTCCAGTGGTTGGTTGCTTCATATTGGCCATTAGGACCACACCCAAGCCATTGAGACTAAAAATGCCACTCTATAAATTTTAAGTAATGAGCCTTTACTGAATTCTATGCTTATCCTGGAGTGAAGAGGGGACACTTGTGGTCCAGCCAAGAGGTGCGAAGATGGATGCGTTAAGTAGGAAAATGTGGGAGGCTTTATCTGGTATAGTTGCTGGAGTCGATGATCCGTGCTGCTCAGAGACAGACAGCAGACGGGAACAAAGCAATGCATTCACCTGTCACCAGAATATGGAAGTTAATGTAGCCAGATACAGATTAACTACAGCATCGGCGATTTTTCTTCCTTTTGTAATGTTTTTAATCTAAGTGCATTTTATGCAGTATAGTTTGGTCATGTTCTTTCTTACCTCAACTCCTCCCAGATCCTCCCCAGCTCTCTATTTGTCCAATTTCATGTTCTTTCTCTCACTCTTAAAATAAAAGGGAAAAACTTAAAATTGGAAGTTAAAACAGATAAATAAACTAGAAAACACCAGTAAGACAAAAAATCAAAACAAAACAAAAAGCACACACAACGAAACACAGACTCCCTTTTGGGTTGGGCAACTACTCCTGAACATGTGGCCTGCCCTAGAATGTAGACTTTGTGTCCACTTCCCTATCTAATGCTGACATTTTGTCTGGTTTGAACCTGCATTGGTCTGTGCTGCCACAGTCTCCATGAGCATGTATATGCCTCCGTCCTGTTGTGTCTGGAAGCTTCTGCTTTCTTGGAACCATCCATCCCCTCTGGTTCTTACTGTCTTTTCGGAGGGCTTTTCATAAAACATCCCATTTTGAGCTGAGTGTTCCCCGGTTTCTCTCTGTCTACACACAGTCCGGTTGTGAGTCTCTGTATTAACCACCACCTACTGCAAGACGCAGCTTCTCTGGTGAGAGGAGGGCGATGCTCAGATCTGTGAATAAAACACTGCGCCATTAGGCGTCGTTTTATGGCTATGTTCACCTAGCAGAAAAATAGTAGTAGGTTTTGTCCTAGCATCTATAACCGACCTAGGCTCAGGTTCTTGGCCACGTTAGCATTTATCATGTGTGGGCTTCACTTCATGGAGTGGGCCATAAATCTGATAAAAAAAAGTGGCTGTTTACTTTTTTACCACAATTGCACCAGTACGTCTTGCAGTTGTGGGTTGCAGTACTGGTAGCTGGGTTAAACTGTTGATTACTTTCTCTCTGGTAGCACGCAGCGTACCTTTCAGCACTGTGAATGCTAGTGAGTAGGGGTGAAGCTCCTGCCTGCTTGATTTCTCCATATCCAGTAACAAGAGTAAGTTGTATATTCAGCAATAGGGCCCAACCATCAGATTGTGGAAGTAACTAATAGACTTGGCAATAGCCTGTGGTGTTTCGGAGGCTCTATGGGACCCTTTGGCTAACAGCTTAACATGATGTGGCCTATTTCATAGGTAATTCTTATATTTGGTTGGAAGTCAGTTTTCCTGAAAGTTAGTTGGTAGCATGGTGATGATGGTTATATACAGACAGCTATGCTAGTAATAGCAGCTGTGGGCCAGGGAGCTAGCTTGGTCAGCAAAGGGCTCACTCTCTCAAACACAAGGTCCTGAGTTTGATCCTAAGAATTGAAAAATCCTATGTGTGGTAGTTAGTGCATGTGTATAACCCCAGTGATGGGGAGAGGGAAGCAGATACATCTCTGGGGCTCACCGGCCAGCCAGACGAGCCTACGTGGTGGGTTTCAGGCCAGTGAGGGGCTCTGCTCAAAACAAAACAAACAAACCAAAAACCCAAGTGAGGGAAATGGCACCTAAAGAATCACCCCCGCCGCCCAGCATCCAAAACGAACAACTAGAAGGTCAGAGAGTTCTAAGTCTGGGCTATGTAGAAAAACTGGTCTCACAAAATCCAGCCAAACAAACTGAAGTCATTACTATTTTTCATAAAAGTCCTTTCAGGCCAACATTAAGCTGCTATTATCAGATATGGGATCCATCTGTGTACAAACTGCAGAGCAAGGGGAAGTAACATGACACAGAGTGCGTTCTCACTGAATAAATAGAACGCACACAGTTCCCAAATCATAGAAGTATCAAAAGACCGGGCTGTAAAAGGCATAATAGCAGGGGGCATGCCACCTCCTAATAAACCCGGGAGTCAACAAGAACGTGTGCTGTTGTTAGGCATGGTCCTTGGATGTCCTCTGAGCACATGTTTCTGCCTAGACAACAACGAGTCCAGAGCACAGCAGTCACCGTCGGAGAGACACACGCACCACACCACTCATTGGACTCTGACTCTTTATTTGGTTCTGTGAACCTTCCACTGGTGCACCAGTTAATCCGTATGCTAAGTTCTTAAAGAAAAAAAATCAGTTAAGTAGTAAACATATTCAACAAAGAAAAAAGGGAAAATTCAAAAAGGAGACAAAACAAACAAAACCTAAAACCTACCCAATGTCAGTAGTATCCAACAATGCTCGCTCTCTCTCTTTCTCTCTCTTCTCTTCTCTTTCTACTGTTTTAGGGTCAGTGTGTTCTTACTGCAGGTAGGTACATACAGATAAGGCTTACCCAGTGTGGTTATCAGTGAACAGAGGGGACACACACCTCTGGAAAGGAACCTGAGGACCCTGAGGAATAAGACTCACATGTGTGATGATGAGGAATGGATTTCTGACTCAATCACCAATCAATACATGCATAAACACACCACACACACACACACACACACACACACTATAAAGCAAGCTTTTTACTCCTGAGTTATTTTACAACCTGTGAGAAAAGTGAAGCTCACGATGATGCTTGGGAAATCCTAGGACAATCCTTGTTTAGAAGGACGTGTGATAAGAAAGCTTGGCTTGGAAAACTCGACCAAGAGCGTACTTGAAGAATGTGAGATTCTCTTTCTCCACCCATCCAGTGAGTCCACAGCAGAATGGGTCAGTCTATACAACACAACCCAGCTCCCATTCTTATGCCTGGTGCCAGGCGGTCTCTCATGGCGCGTCTCAGAGGACCCACTATAGTCTCTACAAGCCAAAGAATCCAGGGCACCTCCTTCTTCACAAGGGAAACTGCCCAGCTAGTATTTCCTCTCAGCTCTGGAATAAGAGGAAATTTGAAGCTACGTAGCCATGAAGTGGATATCTCTCTCCAGTGGTAAGCTTACTGAAAGGGGGCTTTAAAAACTTCTTAGAGCTCTCTTAAATGAAGGCTGCTCTGGTCAAAGTGCTGAAATAGTACCCTCTACTGCCGAGTTATCTGATAATTGAAGTCTCAGGGCCCCCAATACACAACTTGCACTGGAGTTGGGTCACTTGCCTTGGCTCTGATGGGTAGCACGTGAGGTGCTCACGGGGGAGCTGGGTGCTTCTCAGGTGGCCTGCCTTCAATGCAGAGTTCATAGCTGATCCATAGGGCGCAGTAACCAGGGGGCTGGAAGCAGGGCTGGATTTTGAAGGATTTTCAAGTAATCAGATTGGAGAATTACCCTGGGTGTAAAGCAACATATAACATCTCGCTGCCTTTGGCACCCGTGAGCAGAGGTAGTAGCAGCTTGTCTGGCGGGAAGTCTGCCCCCTTAACAGCTCCTTTAATTCCAGACAAAATGAAAATTCCTTTCTTAGGAGTCATTAAGGCTCCAATTTGACTTCTCGTTATTAAACCATGAAGTTGGCCAAAACATTTAAATTAAGCCAAATGAAGAGATTTATGAGCAAATTGGAGTCTAGGTGAAAAATTCAGCCTAATCTCCAAAGATTAAGAAGCACACAATAACTAAATTATGAAAGAAACATTTTTTTAAAAAAAGCAAATCTCTGCACTAACAGGAAGAGATGTTCTTTCTTTTTTTTTCCCAAAGAGCCAGCTTCTCAAAATTGAGTTTTTAGTTGATAATTTCATGCTTGGTAATACTCACATGGTTTGAGAAATGCTGGGAAAAGATTTAAATGGTATTTTAGTCATGCAGAACTAGAGAAATATGTCAGACTGATAGCCCTAAGCGGCCGGCAGCCACCTATGGCCAAAGAACAGTGTCAAGAGTGGAAACAGGAATTACCTCAGATCTTGCTGCCCTACAGACAGACGGCCAAGGTGAGAGGTTAAACCCGTTAGATCTCCACTATCCCCCTGAACTGGTCCTGCCTGAGGGGAGAAATTTCCCAGCTTGCCGAGTGTCCATGTGTAAGGTTGAGACCTCACTCACTCTTTATCAGAGGCTGGCTCTCTGCCTGGAAGAGAAACTGCCCTTGAGGCACATTTGAAATGGAAACTGAGAGATGTGTTAGTGACCAGCTACTGGAGCCACTGAGGGTCAAGACTATTCATAATTCCATTGCTAGGTCCTAAGGGTCATTGGGTCAAAAGGTGAGGCAGTTACCCTCAGGGTAGAAGAGAGCGTCAATTAAACTGAGCACCCAGAGAGTGCATTCCCTAGTGTACAGGAAGTGTGGCTTAAAATTCACCAACAGCAGTTATTTCTTTGGGTAAAGGAATACAACGCTGAGTTCATCATTCTAAACCACTGATTACCCATGGTAGAGATATGATCAGAAATTTGATAAGGGAGAGGTCAACTTTGATGGAGATTCACAGAGGGTCTGTTGCCCAGAGACCTGCCCAAGGGGCTCCTGACCCCAGTTGGGAGTTACAGAGGTACTAGGACTGTGGGAAAGTCGGCCGTAGAGCACAGGGGATGGGCAGTCAGGGCACTGGTGTTTCTTTTATGTCTTTGTGTTCTAGCAACATACTAAGTGCTTTTGTGTAATTTTTCCTACATAATTCAATTAACTGTAAGGCAGCCTCATTACCTTTATTATGTAGTTGGAGAACTGGAGGCTTAAGGAATTTTTCCAAGGTCACAAACTTACCCAAACTTGAGCTCAACTTTGCCAAACTTTAAAGATCTTTTTCTTTCTGTGTCTTTATGCCGCTGCACTGGAAATAATAGGATAAAGGGATTATTCACAGTTGTGTGATGCAGAACTTACCCTACTACTACATCAGCCTATGTAAGGAAATCTATGTAATAAACCCAAATAAAGACCCTTAATCAAAGCTTGCCAAGTTACAATGGCAATTAGCATTCTAGAATGTTCCCAAAGGTTTGGTCCTTTGCTTAGCAATACCACAGCTGGTATAACCTAGAAGGATGATGGATGCCTCCCTCCCTCATCTCTGCTTTCACTTCTGGGTCACCATGAGCTTTATTCTATAACAATGACTGGCTTTACATTTACACACTACTCACTGGGGTGTGCTGCCTCACCATGGACCCCGGAGCACACACTCCATTGCAGACTCTAGAACTGTCAGCCCCAAAGAAAGCATTCCTCTTCTTTATGTACATGTGTTGTATGTACACACACGGTTCGTATGTGGGGGTACTGCCATGCTTTCTCTGCCATCACGGACCGTCCCTCTTCAGAACCCAAGCCAGAAGAAACCCTTCTTCCTTTAAGTTGCTTCTTGTCGGATATTATCACAGCTTGAGAAAAGTAACTCACACAGTTTCTACTTTATTTTTTGAAACAAAGCCTCTTTCAAAACATGGAGCTTACTTAATCAGGAGATACCATGGATCCGTGATCTCCTTCTTCCCAGGGCTAGAACTGCACCCCTGCATGCGACCTTTCCATGGGGATCTGAACTCAGGTCCTCATCTTGCACAGTAAGCGCTGTACCAGCGGAGCCGTCTCCCAGTTCCTCTTCTTAGATGGGCCCATCTCAGGCATCTGTTGCAGTTATCGGAAGCTGTCTGACACAGACGTAGAATCTCTGCGTGAGAGAAGGATGTTGGATTTGACAACTGGATTTTGGTCCCTTCAAGATTCATCTTCTTGGCATCTTGGCACGAATCACAGTGACTGCCATCTTTGTTTCTGAGATCACTCCTGTTTCTTTACAGTTTGACCTTGGGTGAACTTAAGACAAGCTTCTTCATTTCCCCTAGCAGAGGTGAAACAAGGTCAAATTCGTGAGAGGTTTCGCTAACAGGCTCAAAGGTAACGCCGGGAAAACCAACACAGATTAAAATGTGACTAATTAACTGGGCTCTCTCAGGAGATGCGGTTGCTCTCAAAGGCAGGGTTCATCCCCACAGGGCTCCTTTGTGGGCATCCCTGCCTATCTTCCAGATTTATTTCCATCAAGTGACCAAATCTTGAGCCCCACCCCAGTAACTGGAAATATCTTCAAGGGTGTTCATTATCTAATGCCAGCCTTCCCATTTCTCAGCAGACGCCTTTCCCATTCAGATGGGAGTATGTCTTGACATTTGCTCAGGGGTAGCCCCTCATTCATAAATCTGAATAATGGGAGCCTAGGATTGTAGAAGAAGGGGAAGAGATTCTGTTTTATGAAACTGGTCAAAATACCAATCAGTCTTTTTTAAGCACAGTCATGAAAGCCCAGGTCATGATAACCAGTTGTTTTCACCATGGTCAATGGGGCTCACTGAGCACACTCTTCTCCATTGTTCACACCACTTACAGCAGGCCTTTTAAACACCAGAGACACTAGAAACAATGTGGAAATTCCCCCAACAGCAGGCAGGATAAATAAATAACTCTGGAGAGTCAAGTGCTGATAAGGAGGGGACAAGGGCACTCTAATACACCCACTGCTGCGGAGTGTAAACTGGAGATTACTTTGACAATCTCTCCCATAGGCCATGGCGAGTCATCCTTGGTGACATCCTTATCATATACTCTGAAAAGCGTGTAAATGCTCACAAGCAAGTGTGAACAAGACGGTTCACTGCAGACTTCTGTGAGAGCAAAGTGAGCAGTCCAAAATCACAACCAAAAAATATTCTGGAAACTGAGACATACCAACAATGTAGACCATTTGTTACTTTTGTAGTGCTGGTAATTGAGCCTAGCCCCTCAACTCCCAACCCCCATGCTAGGCAAGGGCTTTATCTATATTCCAAGTCCTAAAGATACAGAAAGAAAGAAATGGATTTTTTTGAGATGTGTGCACGCGCGTGCGCGCGCGCGCGCGCGCGCGCGCACACACACACACACACACACACACACACACGGAGCAGGAGGGAGTCATGCAGGTCAGGTGGTCTAGAATTTGTTGTGTACCTGAGGGTGACTTTGAACTTCTGATCCTTCTGTCTCTATTTGCTGAGTGTTGGGATATAGCCATGGGCTACCCTGTCCGGTTTAGGAAGAAATTTCTAAAGTTATGGTTTAAGCAGTGCTATGCAATAATTTACAGCGAGAAGAGTGGAGTAACTCTTCACATTTCCGCGTGGATAAGACTCAGTGAAAACCCTGGCCTCTCTATGCTGTGAACTACGTTGTCATTCGAGTTTTCTTAATTATGTGGACAAGCCTCAGTTAGCTATTTGCAGAGGCTGACTTATTGTTCTTATGCCAGCAAAAAGGCCCTTCCTGAGGGAGATTCTCACAGCCTGGGCTCATCTATAATAGCTGGGCTATGGGAAGCTTGCACCGTGACTGGCGAAGAGTTGAGCGTACCGGTGAACTCTGGTAGATACAAGCAAGCAAACAAAACCCCACATCATGAAAGGAGCAGGATCCTGTTTAAAGGAATGCAGATAAGTGGTTTTTAATGAGAATGTGTTAGACAACAGAAATCTGGACCCGGCTCTTCAGGAACTCAGATTACACTGTTGCTACCAACAGCATAAAAGGATTGAGACGTGTTTGGCTTTTGTTCTCAACTAGAGTATTAAATCTACTCAAAGGATCAACAGACTGATTTGTTTTTCCAAATGATTTTTAGTCCTGTGTGGCATTTGGAAGGAAGTAATACAAAATGGAAGGTGACTGTGACAAGCCAGGGGAAAACCCATCGTAATTAAATTTGCCTCAGAATACCAAGATGCATGGGAGAAGGGAAAGTCAGGACAGAGCTGAATCAGGGCTTGCCGCTTAGTAGTGAACAGTACCATGAGACATTGGGGCAATGTTTCTAATCATTATTTCTCCTCATGGTTATTGTCAGCCAGGCGTGAGGAGGACAAAGACTCAACTCCACACTGCCACCTCTCACCAGCCTGGGGAGTTCCCTTAGATTTTTAGGGACCTCAGCTCAGGCCAAACCAGGATGCTTGGCTTCAGTGCTGAAAGGAATTGAAGACATAGCTAGTATGGTAAAGCAGAGTTAGAAGTTTTATTAGATATATGTTAATATAAGTTAAGCACACGAGTAAGAGAGACGAGAAGTACTTGGAAAGTAAGGCATGCCCAAATGGGGGTGTGTGCTTCCAAGCAGGGGAAATTCAAACACAGCCAAACACGGCTATAGCTTCTCCAAGAGAAATTAAGCGATTTATTGTCTTAGCGTTGGCCATAAATATCCTTTTGGTTTCATCCCTAAAAGATTGCTAAGGAAGAATTTAATCCTTCTATCTTTTTTGGTAAGCAGGGTCCATAACATGGCTCCAGAGATGCCTAGGTAGAGTTTTAATCCAATAAGGTATAACCAGGAGCCCCTGCAGTTGTAGGGGTTGCAAAGGGTGCAGTGTATGTCTTTCCTGCAAATTCAGGTTTGGATGAGGTTCCTAGAAGGTCGCAGGTTTGTGGCTAGGGAGGGAGCACGGCCTTGAGCAGCTGACAGTGAAGGAATTCTTGTTCTGATGCTGGCAAAGTCTTCAACGGATTCCAAATTTGAAGGGCTTCCTTCCCACTTTTTATGTCCCCAGGATTTCCCTGTCTTTCTTCCCCCCACCTTCAGTCCTATCTTCCTTCTAATAGCTATGGTGCCAACCGAAGAAGAAGCAAGAGCTTTGCCAGCTGACCAAAAGCCACCTGTGATGCACCTAGTGGCAAAATGTCAGTTTCCTTTGGCTCATGACCGTGCGCTGTTCTTGATAGGATACATTCTGGCGTCAGCTGAATTGATTGCTTGTACCTGGTTGATTAACAAGGAACTCTACCGGGCCCCTGCGGTTGTTCTTCTGCAGTAAGATGTGGCTAGCTGACACAGACACCAGTGAAGCTCACTGGCCCTCCTGGAAAGGAAAGAAAAATGAGCAGGAAACACACAGTATAAGATGCCACAAACACCATCAGACCTCCAGCGGGGGAAGCCTGATCTGATCTTGATGACAAAAATAGCTTAATGTCCCTTGAGCAATTGATTTTATCCTGAAGATTCTATAAACTGACAAAGCTATTTTCCTTTCTGATATCTAGGCAGCTGAGTTTGAGGTCCATGTGTAAAATGTGTACAATATCCCCAGGGGCATGTTTCAGCTGCCACTCGGAATCAACGCTGTTCCAGCTCCTGCTCTTCTCCTTTCTCCTTCCACCCAACTTCAAGATATAAAAGTACTCATCTACAGATGCCTGAGCCTACATCTATTACGCAGCACTCTGTACCACTCTGTGAAAATTATGCTTTAAAAGGACTGTCACTTTAGGTGTTCTGGGGCTGACTCAATAAAGAGTGGATGGTGTAAAGTTTATTCCTTTCATGGAAACTTCATTTTTAAATGCAGCCCTTTAGAAGGCAGTCAAGTTGTTAGCTCTCATCTGGATTCAAATAAGCACCCCTCCCCACACACGCCATTTCTTGCAGCGCTAAACCTCAGGAACTGATGCCTGAAAAGTGCTGCTTGAGATGGGCTGGTGGGACCTGGAAATAACTCACTAAAGGAAGAGCCGTGCAGGGAAGCACTTTTCTGCCCCATTTTCCTGGTGGGAGACTCTGGATGAGGTAGCAGTGTGTGTGTGTAAGCAAAAATCCCGCCAGCGCCCTGGAAGACAAAAGCAACGCCGGTCTGAGCCGCTTGCGGTAGCACTCAGCAGATAGTCAATGGGGCAGAAAGCCAAGGGCCAGCGCTTTTCAACCATTGTCACCTTTATGCACCAAGGGTCACATGAAAATTTTTTGGATCGTGGTAGCTTCACTTTGACTCTCTGGTATGTCTGCTTTTATTTTTCTCCTTTTTGAAAAAAAACCAAACATATCAAGCCATACTGTGGGTTCAAAAATACATCTTAGCACACTCAAGTTACTTACTTGGTCCCTGACTGGAAAGAGGGACCATAATGCCCATCATAAGCAAGATGGAGGTAACAGCCTCAGTTTGGAATCAGGTGTGAAGTGGTCCCTCAGCATCCATGGATGATTGAGTCTAGAAACCCCAAGGATAGGACTGCTCAAGTATCTTATATGAAATGTCATGCTATGTCATATTTATAAACAACCTATCATGAGCTCCAGAGCTCTTTAAATACCTCTGGGCTGCTTATAACACAGCCTACGGTGTAAGTCCCTGCAAAGAGTTGCTATAGCAAATAGAATAATAATTCATGTGTAGACATTATTTATCAGTGTGTGCCAAGTTGGGGGTGATTGGGGCACATGTGTGGGATTCAGGGACTGAACTCAGGTTGCCAGATTTGCACGGCTAACACCTGTACATCTCACTCGCCTGGCTCACAACTATCTTAAAAACAGATTTCCTATTGCAGCGTATGGTTAATATGGAACCAAAAGACCGATATGGGGAGCTGACTGGGGAGAAGAAACTGATGCCCCCTTTCCCCTCGGGACTTTTTTTAGTAATCTTTTCAGGATTCAGTGAAAGCCTGTGGAGGTGGGTATGGTTTTATCAAGAAAGATGGTTCCTTTTCAGCCTAAGAGAGAGAGAGAGAGAGAGAGAGAGAGAGAGAGAGAGAGAGAGAGATATCAAGGCTCATTCATTTTCCCTCCACTCTGTCTAAAATACTGGGTTGCCCATTATTGTTTGCTCACAGAGCTCTGAAGAAAAGTAGAGATTTGGGGCTTGTGAAGGAGAGGACGACAGAAGTTTCCAGGAACGTGTGGGGATGAGCTGATGGCTCTCAGACAGGATGCAGAAGTTTTCCCTTCTCGTTCTCCTGAATGTTTCAGACATGTGTTCTGTGTCTTCTCCTCAGAGGGCGTTGCTCTGGTGATTGATAGTCAGTGCCTTGGCCTGGAGCCAGGCCTTTAGACCCAGTTCCCACTTCTATTTTCTTCTTTCATTTACTTGTTTACTGGTTTTATGTGTGTGTGTGTGTGTCTGCGCATGCATACATGTGTGTGCGTATGCGCTCAGGCACACACTTGTAGATGCCCCAGTATACATATGGAGGTTACAGGATAAATTGTAGGAGTCATTTCTCGACTTCCATCTTGTGGGTCCCTGGAATTAAACCTGGTCACCAGGCTTGGCAGTAAGCACCTTTAATTCTGAGCCCCCACACCAGCCCCTACCACATTTTGTTATGTGCTTTGGACAAACTATTGTACTTATATCACCATGTCCCATCTTGGTCAACTGTGGAATGTTTATGATAATAAGAGCACCCATTTCATAAAGCAACTGCAGGGATGGAATGAGACAATCTCTCTCAACTTTTCAGTCCATTAACTGAACACATTAAACTCCAAAATATAACAGCCATCATGGTTTGCTCACTAGGCTAAAATCATTTTAAAGATACCTGATCTGCAAACTTATTTTTTTAACCAAAAAGTACCTTTTCTAGTGGAAAGTTATTCTTCAAACCTTCCACGTAATAGAGTCCTCTATACTTTTAGGAATAAAAAATGAACACTTGGTGGTTTAAGGGTGCTCTGAAGTCAGGACAACCTGAGTCGAGAACCAGTGTGTGGTAAGGCTGGCAACCTCACACTTCTATGACCCCGGTTTTGACATGGGTGGAGATAGGTTACTTCCCAGAAGGCAGTAGCTGAGGTTTAGGGATAGACCTCGCCTCAGGGAATCCATGTGGAGAGACGGAAAAGAGCACTCAGTACGCTTCTGGCATGCAGACCCGCACATTCATGTGCAAATACACCCACATATACGGATGCATAAATAAATAAATCTTTAAAAATAAACTTAGAATTAGTGTTTTTAAACTACCAGTGTTGATAGATTTTTTTTAATTGTCATCAGTGACCAGACATGGTACTGTGTGCATGTAATCCAGCTGTAGAGAACCAATTCAAGTATAGCCAAGGTAGATAGCTCCAGGTCAGCTGCCTTAAAAACAGCAACAACAAAATGCAGCTTATTAATTTTGAGTATGGTTGTATGTTGGAATGTGCCACCCTTGGGGACACGCAGACCTCTAGGGAGTAACTCTCCAGGGTCACGGCACCTAAGTCCTTGTCTAAGAGAAGACTGCTTCCCTGCAATCCTTTCTGTTTTGTGGAACAGTGGTTTCAATGCCATGTCCTTTGTATTAGTCATCTTTCTGTTATTGAGACCAAACACATGAAGAAATCACTTTCTGATGAGAAACTATTTATTTTGGCCCAGCTGGGAAGGTTTTAGCCTGTGAACATTCCGCCTCATTGCTGCCCTCTGCCCTCTGAGATCATTCCTTCCCACTCACCTAAATACAGAGACTTAACAGGATTCTGGACCCTGGGTTCTTATCTGTTTCAGGTAAATTCCCTGTCCATTCCAAGAGCTAGGAAAAGTTTTGCCCAACTCATTTTTAGCATTCTTTAGCTCTACTGTTTTATAATCCTACTGGCAACGGTACGAACTTCTCAGATCTTAAAACTCCCAGCAACCTGTCCCAGAGTTTCTCAAGTAGGCAAACATAGTAATGTGTTTCCTATTTGTTTGCTAAACATTTGTTTAAGGAGGGCAAATCTGAGCCGAGTATCTGTGGAGACAGAAATTAGGCGTACTTTGGAGGTAGACAGCATTTGGTACAGTCAAGAAGGAATTCTGTGTTACTACCTTTAGAAATCACGGTGGGAAGTGATAGCATTTACTAAAATGAAGAGGACAGATTGGGAGGAGTTTGAAGGAGGGCCTGAAAGTGCAGTTTGGAGCATGGTAAATCTGAGATGTCTCTAGATTGTCTGAAGGGTAGTGTTAAAGAGTCAATTGTGATGGAAGTCTAGACAATTGAAAATTCATGGACAGGGGAATGACATCAGTCCATAGCAATAGATGTCATGAGGGAGGAAGAAACTGGAGAAATGAATGAGAAAAGGAGGCAATAAGAGCTGAATGCTGGGGCTGGAGGGATGGAGTAGCATTTGCTGCTCTTGTGGAAGACCAGAGTTTGGTTCTGAGCATTCATGTCAGGCAGCTCGCAACTGCTTGTAGCTCTAGTTCCAAGAGACCTGTGGCCCTCTTTTGGACTCTTTGGATACCAACACACATGTGTATGTACACACACACACACACACACACACACACACACAGAGAGAGAGAGAGAGAGAGAGAGAGAGAGAGAGAGAGAGAGAGAGAGAGAGAGAGAGAGATTTAATCCATTTAAAATTAATTTTAAAAACCCAGATTGCTAAACAATTCTAATATTTGGAGGAGGTAGAGGGTAACCTGAGGTGAACTTGGTCACACCAACTAAGAAGGAGCAGCCACCACAAAAGCTGGACTGGGACTGATGGAGCATGTGATCAAACAGGACTCTCTGAATGTGACTGACAATGAGGGCTGACTGAGAAGCCAAGGACAATGGCATTGATTTTGATTCTACTGCATGTACTGGCTTGGTGGGAGCCTAGTCTGTTTGGATGCTCACCTTCCTAGACCTGGATGGAGGGGGAGGACCTTTGACTTCCCACAGGGCAGGGAACCCTGACTGCTCTTTGAACTGGAGAGGGAGGGGAGGGGGAGGGAAATGGGAGGAGTGGTGGAGGTGGAAATTTTTAATAATAATAATAATAATAATAATAAAAAGAAAACAGGAGGCAAGTGATATTCCAGAGGCCAGAAAGAAGGCAGGGTTAATAAGAAAACTCAATTAGTCAAATTTCTATCACTATGATGAATGTCAGGCACAATGAATTTTAAAAGACTAAAAGTTGACTTTGGCTCATGCTCTTTGAGCCTTGATGCTCAGGATTGCAGCAAGGCAGCAAGTGTATCATGATAGGAACATGCAATGGAGTAAAGCCACCTTGTGGAAGGTGGAAGGGGGAAAGAAGGAGACCAAGGTCCCATTGGCCCCTTGAATGGGCCACAAGCACCTAAAGACTTCACCCTAGGTCTCACTTCTTAAAGTTCCAGTTCTTCCTAATAGTACCAGTCTGGGAACTAAGCCTTTACACACGATGGGAGTTCAGGTCCACGCATAGTAAGGGTTAAGTGAAAGAAGAAAAGCGAAGCTCAAGTGAGAAAGGAGAAGCCCACTGCTGATCCTCAGGAGGAGAGTGGTGGAAGGAAAATCGGGAATGCAATGTGGAAAGAGACAACGGCAGGGAAGGCGCAGGGGCGATGTGTGCGGTGGTTACTGTAAGGGAAGCTTGCTGAGAAAAGAGAGGAAAGTTAAAGCAGAGTGGAAAGGACCAAAGTGGGAAGTCAAGAAGAGAACAACTGGTCACGTTTCTTGTCCAACCTGAGTGACCTGTTGGAGAGGAAGACGTTGGTGAAGCAGGGAAGGACAGGAAGGCTGAAGCAGAGACGGATGAACAAGAGCAGACCAGAGTGCAGACGGCAGAGTTGCCTTGCATGAGCGAAGGGGCATGGCCTCCACTGTAGCAGGACAAATGGTGCCAGATAGAAGAGTTCAGGAGTAGGAAGATGACTCAGTTCACCCTGGTAGCATTTGCTTTTTCCAGTGAAATCTGAGGTCAGCTGGCCCGGAAGGAAGATAAAGGATGCAGAAGCACCATTTAATTTGGAGATGGAGGTAGAGGGCACAGCTTTCTCTGTGACTCTCCCCAGCAGTGATGGGCTCTGCTGGGGCTGGCACAATCTACTCCATCTTAAGTTTTGTACTGCAAGACAGACAGTATGGAAAGGGCTTTGTGGTTGAGGGTATTTTTAAATGAATGACATATGGGGAGCACTTAGGGTGGTGGCTGACCCGCCACCCTAATAAAGTGTTAATAAAGAACTAATGGATGCTATAATTGCCCCTTACATTGATCATCAGCTATGGTAATCATGGTGAGCAGAAATCTTATCATGGAAATGAGTATTTGGACAAAGAATTTTGCAAATTCTTGAGTGTTGCCCTATCGTAATCATATAATCAATTTTCACATAATTCCCCTATTTGTGATATTTACTGTACCCATAAATTAACACACACATACACATTCATATGTGCACACACATATACATACACATATACACAGAGACACACATGCACACATACACATGCACACGTGCTCACGTACATACAAACAAGGACATTGCTTACTTCTGTGAGGATGCTGTCTT